GTGCTCTTCCGATCTTATATATATATACAGAGTGGACCATTTTAATCCTCGAAACCCTACCACTTTTGTCTGAAAAATTTTTCTCTCAAATCTCACGATTTTAACATATTTGACTGTCAAATATAAAATGAAACACCTTGTAAAATATATGTATACACGGTGTCTGGTACTCAATAGTACAGCGCTCGTGATCAGGTAGTGTAGATCAAACTGAACAAAAAAGTTCTCTACCATTTTGCGATCTTCGCACTAGTTTTCGAGATATTAATATATAAAGCTCGTCAAATCTGAACGCGCGGCGAGATATGCCCGCCCGCCGCGGGCCGCGGTCATCTCCCCCGCGCGCCTAGTGGGCGGTGCGTAGTGGAGGTAATTGATTTAACGCCACTATGCGGTCGCCTAGCGCGCGGCGCGGAGTGGGGGTAATTGCACGCTTACCAATGCTGTGGCTTACCTCCCCCACGCGCCGCGCACTAAGGGGGGAGGTGGCCATCGCGATCCGCTGCGGCGGGCGTATAGGCTATTGCCTGAAGCTAGAAAATTGTCCCGATTCGGAAGAAATTAGTTAGTGACATTTTATTGTTTTATACGGTCATTTGGCATAAAAGTAAGGCAAAACCGCGGAGTGCTACTAAATAAAGTGGTGCGTTTTGCAGATATAACCAAAAAGTGTCATTTTTCATTATTTTGTAATTATCTCGAAAACGACGCAAGATACAAGAAAAGTGCAAGAACACTTTTTTGTTGGAAATTAAATTTTACATAAGATAGCAACAAAAAAATTTTTTTTAAATTATAGAGGCTAGATATGAGATGAAAACGGAAGGGAAAAATCGCAAAATTTTCGAAAAAAAATTCTTTTTTACATTTTTGCGTATAACTTTTTTTCTATGCATTGGAGCAATTTTTTAGCGGTACAATAAAAGAAAGTAGACATTCTAACAAAGAAAATGAGCGGTGATTAAAATGTTTTTGTCGAATAGCGACCGAGATATCGTTAAAGAAAATTAGGCATTTTTCAGGCTGTTTTTTGGTGTTTTTATTAGAATTTTTGCATTGTATAAAATGAGCGAGACCGAGATTTCCGGGAAGCCCGAAGCTAAATCGCGTACTTTTTGTTAATTCTTTTTGAACCTTTTATATGTAACGCGGCACCTCACCGGATACAAGGAGCATCGGCGGAGAGGATTCCGGGCCACCGGCATAGGACGTGGAGTGCAGGCGACCTGGCGCAGGAGCTAAGGGAGTTCGCACCGGGCACGTGGTGACCATGCGACGGGGCGCGCACACGCTGAGCGCGTGACAGCGCGCCAGGAGTTGCGAGAGCCGCCAGGGGCGCGGCAAGGAAGGCGAGCGAAGGATCTGAGGCCCACGAAGGGCAATACGGCCGGCGATTTCCCCATGGCCAGGGGTCACCGCCGAGAACTGCCGAGACGACGTGGCCAAGTCGTCCCGGATTAAAGGGCGGAGAACGCGCCCACCAGATGCCACGCCGCCACATCCTGGAAATAGGGCGGCCTCGCGAGGACGCGAGGCGCCCGTAGGAAAAATTGCCATCTACGCCCGTGCCATGGCAGAACCCCCGCGGCGTCGTGATTGGTCGCGACCGTGTGCGCCGCTATGTTGCGCACCCCCGGGCTGGCGGTGCAGGCATCGATCGCGTATCGAACGCGATCTACGCCGCTTTTGCGTGCGAGTGATCCGAGTGTGCGGACGAGTCGAGAGAGTGAGCGAGATAGTGAGATTGCGAGAGAGCGAGAGACGAGAGGCTGTCGGTCCGGGCCGGATACCCAGGAAGCCGAAGTGGAGATCGTGCCGGTGAGGTGACTTTCTGTTTCACGTGTAAAGCCGCGGGCAGGTCGAGGATCCCGCTCGCACTCTGCGGACGGAAATGCCATTTTCGTGTTAGAGTTCGGTCGCGTGCGCCCTTTTTGGCGACGCGTACTTCGTAGTACTTGGTTGTTGGCTTTCGTCCTCAAGTGCGAGGGTTCCCACAGAATCTTGAAAAAATCCAGTAAGGATATACATATAATGTCTCTTAAAACAATATTATATAAATATGTGTATAACTATCTGGATCAACATAAAAACGTCCATTTGCTGTAGTAAATACATTTTTCTTTCATTTTTTTTTTAAATTTAGCTACACATCCTACTTTCCCAAGATAAATACATAGGTACGTGAGATATTATATTAATTAATAAATTAAAATATTAAATTTACACATATTTATAATTACTATGCAATAAATTTTATTAAACCATGTATATTTTACATGATATTTAAAATATA